ATTATTATTAGTATTATTATTAGTATTATTATTAGTAGTAGTATTATTATTATTAGTGTAACTAGCCTCTAAATCAGTTGCTTTTCCAGTGAGTCTCCACGTCCTTGTGTTGGACTGCAGCTGATGGCTGTACTTCTTGCTCTGCTCTCCACCCTCTGTGACCTTGGTGTAGCTGAAAATGAACCAGCTCTCCACCTGTTGTAGGTTCTGCTTAGAGCTGCCCTGGAGCAGAGCAGAACAAGGGCTCGTTGACCAGCTGCAGCCTAATATAGTCTAGTTGGAGCAAACCAGATAAGATGCTCTCTAGGTGAGCTGCTGAAGGATGCTGGGGACTCTCACAGCTTTTTAGCAGTGACTAATCATTGGAAATAAGAGTGAGGAGGACTGAGTAATTGTGGATGAAGTCATTCGCTCATATTCATCAAAAAATGATAAAACAACTTGCTGAATATAAAGTTAATATGAGAAACTGGTATATTATATTGTTACTGGCATATGGAGTCCTATACCTGTTAATAGTATCACACTACATGAGTAGATTAAGTTAGGTGGCTGTGGATTTACTATGTAAACACTTTATTAATACAGAACTATTGAAGACTAGTTCTGTATGAATTAACAAAGGCAGCATGTGACAGTTCATCGGGGGACTGTTAAAGTAAATTATTTTCATAGTGAAGCATCCAGGAGCTCTTTGCCCTTCTCTGAATACCTGCATTAATTCCACTGTTTCTTTTTCTCTTCCTGTCTCACCAGAAACCTTCATGAGGACCATGGTGGAAAGCTTCAAATTAGCAGCTATCTGATTAGCTTCTCACTGCACAACAAATCTCCCTCCATCCAGTCCCCGCCATCTGTGGGGCCTCCATCCAGTCATGGCGGACCCTGGGATGTTGAGCTTATTCGGGGACGACCCAGGGCTGTTCTCAGATGGGTTAGATGGTTTAGGAGACTGCTTTCCTCAGCAGTCGGTCCCAGGCCAGTCTGCTCCTCTTGCCCAGCAGACAAATTCCGCTCTGAACCATGAACACCAGGGAAGCAGGGGATACCACCAGGGGATGATGCATGGGAGTGGGCCTACCCCAGCACAGCCTAAATTGGGGCAAATGTACGACCATGGCCCGTATACAGGCTATGATCAAGCCGGCACCCCTGGAGGACGAATGATGGCTCAGAATGGCCCCAGCCAGGGTCCCCCAAATGTGAACACGGCTATGAATGGCATGACCTCCCACTACCACAGTAACCCAGCTAACGCTAGCAACCCCCACCATGGGTACCAGGGTGATACTGGAGGAGGAGGAGGAGGTGGGGGAGTTTGGGGCCAGCAGCAGCAGCAGCAGACCAGACCAGCTTATCCACAGGCTCCAGCACAACCAGGGGCTACTCCCAACCAGATGGGAAGCTACCAAATGTCTCAAGGCAATTATGGTGGGATTCAAGGTCCACCCACATCTAATGCAGCCCGCATGAATCAACACTACCCTCCACAGAGCATGGCACCCCCTCCTGCTCAGGACACATCTCACTACTTGGGACATGTTGGAATCGGGGGTAACCAGATGAGACACCCTCAGCCTCAGGCACAATCCCAAGGCTATCCCAATATGGGACACACATCCCGATATCCACACTCCCCATCCAGACAGCCGCCGCACCCCCACCACCAACAAGGCATGGGAGGGTTTGGGGGTACTCAGTACTCTGGCTATCAGCCCCAGTATGGTGCCATAGGACCTGGGATGGGCCAGGCTCCTAATACTAATGTCAGTGCTAATGCTAGCCAGCCCATGGGATCAGGGCAGCTTGGCCAGAGGTTTAACCAGGGAACAGGCCCGGCAGCAGGGCAGCAGGGACAACGATACCCCCCTGGACCACCACACCAAGCCCATCAGACTCATTCTGCCCCGATGCAGCAGCAGGCAGGGCAGCAGAGCCAGCCTATGCACCCCCTAAACCACCCGCAAAATATGTCCCAACCCCAAAACCAAGCCCAGTCCCATCTTGCCCCCCCAGCTCAGGGAACCTACTCCTCTCCTTCATCCATGTCCCCAATGCGGGTTTTGGGAGCCCCGACCCCTCCTCCTGCCCAACAGGGCAGACCTCCTAGCACAGGGCTAGCTGGGCCCCCAGAGGTTGCAGGATACACAGCAATGCATTCTCCACCCAGTGCTATGGCCCATCCACAGAGGACTCCACAAACCCCGCTGCCTGCCCCACACCCCCAACACCAGCAACCCCATAGCATGGCCCCCAGTGCGGGGCAGATGTATCCTGGTATGGGGCCACAGCGTGGCGCACAAATGGGACCAAACAGGCCTCAGCTCCAGCAGCAGCAGGGTAAGCAGTGTTCTGTTCACGGGCTTCACTTTGATCCTTTATTGGCGATCAAGATCAGTTTCTTCAATTTACAGAAGGACAGAACTAGAAACTAAAGCCATCTCCATCATGGTTGTATTGGCTAAATACTGAGTAAAGCTTAAACAGGCACATGATTTGATGCCATGATACTTGAAACGTGACTTTTGTTTAAGAGAAATGATCAAAATATGGAAAAGTAAGAGTATGTCCACATCTGTTTGGGGGGGGGGGCATCAAAGTGTTCAGATGAATTTCATTATCAAACACAGGGTAAAAAGGAATACTGCCTTAATTCCATCTAAATAGTTGACAAGGGTGACACGACGATAATGATTCTTTTTTTTGTTTGTTTGTTTTTTCCTTTTTTGTCCTGTCGCTTTATCCAGGGCACGAAGCCCCCGCAAGCCAGGGCGGAGACCAGCGTCTACTCCAGACCCAGCAGCAGGCCTCTCGAAGTGGGCAGCATATGCAGCCGGCACCCATGAGTTTTCAGGGACCGCCTGTTGGTCAACATGGAATCCCGGCTCCAAACCAGGGCCTTGGGCCACCCACTCAGAGCCCTCAGACGCAGCACACACACCTGCCCTCACACCCTCATCACTTGCAGAGCACGCCCCCTCCCCCCAACCAGGCCTCCCACCCGTGGGCACCTCCACCTTCTGCCTCCCACCCACTCTCCTCACCCCCTCTTACCCCACAGAAAGTGCCTCACATACAGGTGAGTCTCCGTCAAACAGACACTTTGATGTGGTAGCAAGGCTGAGTATGTGTGAGTGAGATCAAGACTATGTGCATTTGTTTTCATGTGTGGGTGTATTTTATGTGAATGTTTATTTTTCATGTGGGTGGGGGAATGTGTGTATTTGGAGTGTAAGGGAAGTGTGTATGTGTGTGCAGGAGTGTGTGTGTGTCTGTACATGACATTTGAGAACACAGCGGTGCATTGGGCACTGGCTCACTGGGGTTTTGTGTATGTTTGTTCATGGTTTTTTTTTTTCTTTTCCTTTTGTGTGTTCTGCTGCGGGCCTTGTGCACGGTGGTTGTGTTTCCGTGTGTGTGGTGGGGGGAGGGGGTATGGATTTTTGCAGCCGCTTATTTCCTGTGAGCTGCATATCCTGCGACACGCGTGCACACGCGTGCACACGCATGCACAGAGGCGCCACTAGCATAATTTCTCCTCCCCCTTGCTTCCACTATCCCCCTCCTCTGTAGAGGAAACCTCCCTTCCTGTCTCTCTCCTCCCAGTCTCCTCTCTTTCCGCTCTCCCTGTCTGTCTTACTATTTGTCCTCTCCTTTTCAGGGGTGCCATCATTAAGTTAATGTTGTGTAGCCGGATGTGCAGAGAGACAGTTTGGACAACAGGGAGACCGTGAGGATGGGGTGTGATTAAGTGATTTGGAGTGAGAGAAAAAAAACATTAAGAGGAAAGAAGTGAAAAACCGAAAGAAAATCTCAAGTGAAGGGAGGACAGGAATGGTGGGAAGACATTCTCAGTGGCGACCAGCACGTTTGTGGGTTTGAGTGCCGCCTGCCACCATTGCCGCCTGCGTCACGTGTCCTCGCCTTCCATTAGCTTGTTTTGTCGCTCAAAGCCCCCTTTCTCCACTGACCCATTCACACACAATAGCAGCCCTATGGACATACACACCCAAAGATCCAGTCCCCATTTTCTCTTCCACCCCCACGCCTCCCCACCTCCCCACTTCCAAGCCTACATCGCTGTGTTCAGTGGTTGACATTTCAGCCGTCACACTTAATTTATCCAGCACTCCTGACCTACATGCCAGGTTGACTGGTGAGCCTTGCTCCTCACTGGGGCACGCACTGCATGTGCCGTTCTGCCATTCTGGCTCTAGCTGCAGGCCCAGCAGCCCCCGTCATTACACACACACCAACGGTGCTCTGGAACGGAATAGTGAATGTGCCTTGAGAAATAGGATAGCCTAACTAGAGGAGTTAGAGTAGCGTGTGCATGTGGCCCGGGAAGCAAGGTTTCTGTGCGCCTCATGATGCACTTGTTAGAAAGAGCCCCACACACAGACACACACACCAAGCTGGTCAGTCAGTCATGATGACTGCATGTCTGGTACTCTAAGCTCCATCTGTTCACTAAGCATGGTTATTACACATGCACGCACACATGCACGCGTGCCTTCGTCAGCAGCTCAAGGTCAAAGCTCTGGCAGAGTGCTGGGGTGTGACCTTTATTCTACATCTCACGCACACTATGTTGTGTGCAGCACTCTAGTTGACATATAACGCGCCTGTCTTACCCCTCCCCCTGCTCTGCTATACATCTAGCTTACTGGGGTTCTGTAGCTTTGAGGAAATGCTGCTTTGATATGAAGACGCCGGGTGTTTTTTCGAAGTTCGGCGAATGAAAATATTCTGCAGCTGACTGCTTACTCAACACATGAGCACAGTTCATTTTTCATTGATTTTTCTCTTGGTAAAGTTGAAATTTATCCCATCTGAACTGTCTGTCTATAATAATAGATGGATGCTGGGATGGACACTTGTCTTCTGGATTCACTGGACACACAGAGTCAAACTAAGTGAAAATGATCAATGGAGATTGACAGCAGATAGTATGACTTTGTACTTGTTATATATATATATGTCTATACAAGTTATAGGCATATATACTTTATAACAACATAGACATGTTAGAGGTTAAGGAAAAAGGTGTTTTGTTCTAGTACCTGTTCGGGCAGTACAGTTGTTCCTGATATCTCCTCATTGGTGCTTTGATTATGTTGTTGGATAGCACTGCCTTTCATGACAGTCCAAAGTCTCCTAAAGCTGTTTATCTGTGTTATACTGGTGACTGAGAAGGCCACAGTATATGATTCACATCCTTTTTATACTCATAAAACCAGTGAGTCAGTGAGCCCTTGTCCTATAGGTGGGAACCGGTTCCATCAGGATAGAAATTTGTTTGTATTGAATCTTCTCTCTAAAAAGAACATGTTCCCCATCTTACACATAAAGTGTCAACAAAAGCAAGCAAAGCTTATGTTATTAGAATAATATAACAAAGTGGTGTGCAGTCTTTATTCCCTCAGCATATGGCTCACTTGACCTTTGCTTAAGTTGTCAAACTCAGGACTATGTTTTAAGTGTAAGCATCCAGGTTTTCTTGCATTATATTTTAAACTGAAATTTCCAGATCACCAGTGTTCATATCTGTGAAAGAAATACACCATTTTTCTTTTTTAAGGAATTTCTGGTGTTAAAAATTCCTTAAACCTCCTAAAACCCGAACTCTTCCACGGCATGCATTTTTAATTTCTCTTTGATATTTGGGCTGATTGGGACCTGATGAATGTAAAAACAAAGAATTATTAGGTTTTTTTTGTTTGGTTTTTTTTACCTAATTTTTGTTTCTGAGAAAAATGAGAGCCACTTATGAGGATAGTCGTTTAAAATTTCGATAGAACAGTAGCAGTATAATGTCCTCGTAAGTGGATATCAGGCCCTTGTAGAGCAAAATTGAGTATTTTGGTCTAAATAACCCAAAATGTGATATCCACATATGTGGACGCCAGGTCCTAGGAGGTTAAGAAGCATTTGTCCTTTTAGAGGCATTGACACCATCTTAGCCACAGTCACCTTGTCCCAAAAGGTGACAATTCAGGCTGAAAGTTGCTAACATTTGCAAATTTTTACATTATAGTCTAGTGCAGGGGTGGGCAATCTCAGTCCACGAGGGCCGGTGTCCCTGCAGGTTTTAGATCTCACCTTGGGTCAACACACCTGAATCACATGATTAGTTCGTTACCAGGCCTCTGGAGAACTTCAGGACATGTTGAGGAGCTAATTTAGCCATTTAAATCAGCTGTGTTGGTTCGAGGACACATCTAAAACCTGCAGGGACACCAGTCCTCGTGGACTGAGATTGCCCACCCCTGGTCTAGTGACTGCCATTGATCTAACCAATTAGATATGATTAGGGCTGGGCTATATGGCCTAAAATCCATATTGTGGTATAATTTGAAACATGCTCCGGTGCGCCTTATGTATGAATTCTGGTTGTGCTTACTGACCTTGAACCTTATGTGGTGCACGGCGCTCAAAAATCTGTCAAAATGTTTTAGTATGACTTTGGTAAGCTACGAAGCCGCACCGCTTGATGGATTGTTGGAGCATTACGGCTACTGTAGTCAGGAGCCTCGCAGAGTAATCTGGGTGCAAAACTCCGTCTGCTTCAGGTCCTAAAGTGAAACGATCACTGTGGCATCACTGAGAGTTAAAAACTGCCTAAATTCGTTCATCTTTAATAAAATGATCAGTGTTGCTGCTTTACCAGGTTTAACAATTAAGTTTAACATCCAGACATACATGAAAACAGAATTTATTAAATTTAACAGAGTTAAATTTGCAGATGATATTGCTTGCAGCTGCTGCGATGCTTTCGACCAAAACGGGCGCAGCTTGATGACACCATCAACATGCGCTATCGCGGTGGAGCGGTATAGTCTAAATCTCTACCTTTGGCCAAATTCATATTGTTTCTACCGTATACCGTTTATACCGCCCAATCCTAGATATGATATAGAGATATAGATGCAGATATAATTAGAATGTGAATCCTTTCTCCCCTTTTTAACCAATTGGGCCGATTCTCTTGAGTTAATCAGGTGAATCTGGGATTTGTTCAGAAATTTACATTTTAATAAAGCTTCTCAGATTCTAAAAAGTTAACCTCATACCCAGTACATTAAGCTTACGCAACCATTTCTGTGTGAGAACTAACTGATCAAAGCTTGTGCTTGAATGTTGCTCTAATAATTATCAGAATATAATCACTGTGATTAAATTTTGATCTTGTAATTTCTGTTTTATACCATAGTCACAAAATGTGACAAATGTTGGACACTGTTCAGTTTTCTTCTGATATTTTGACTTATTACTGACGAGTTGTCAATGAGGTCAATTAGAACAAAGTTGGCTTAATGGAGAATGAGCTTAAACTGTTTTAGATGGAGGATAAATGGAGGGGCTGCACCACATCCCAGGATATTATAACCGATTTTCCAGGATTCTTTCAGTTGTTAATCAAATGTGTAGTCTGCCACAGTGTGATAAAGATTTTGAACTGTGAATCAAGAAGTGCAGCTTTAGTGGAGTCAAACAATAAAAACATGGAGCAAGATGTGAGCGTAATAGGTGTATATTAAGTGCTTCTGCCTGGTTGATTTAACCATGGCACTATTCTCTCCTCTCACTCACCTTCATCCTCACACTCTCCCCTCCTGTCCTCCCCTCTGTTCGCTGAGAGCTGACACTTGACGCTCTTCACCTACTAAATCTGTTACATTAGCCATGCAGCTCTTCTGTTGGTGGTCTTTTAAGGATTTTCCCCCCTTTTATGAAATCCAATTATTGGGAATGATATTACAGTCTGTTTTGGAAGTGAATGGAGATCATGTCTCAGAAAAGAACAATAAAACGTTCCATTGTTGATGGAAACACTGGATTTAAACCAGTACCTGTGGAAATGGCAGATGAATTCACCCTGCAGAACGCCAAACCTGACGCAGCACTCGAACATGTGTGTTTGTGTACACACTGTGTGTGTCTCCATTGTCATTCCTGTGATTGATTATCTAGGAAGCTTGGCAGGAGGACAGATTTATCTCTTGGCACCACATCCCCCCTCGCCATCTCTCCCTCTTTCTCTCGATCCCTCACTCCCCTCCTGTTTGTGTGCCTAAAAGGCTCAGTTTACGTGTGTGTCAGCAGGTGTTTGTGTGCATGTGTGTAGAGGTTTGTGTGATGTGACCTTGCAGTAGTTGGGTGTGTGTGTGTGTGTGTGTGTGTGTGTGTGTGTGTGTGTGTGTGTGTGTGTGTGTGTGTGTGTGTGTGTGT